TAAATGTTAAAAATGTGGTTTGTTGTTAGTTTTAAATAGATTTGATTTGTTTTATTGAGAAAGTATCTTTCAAATTCAAGTTTATAAGGTTATTTTTAAAATATTTTAAATGTTATCGAATACCATTTATTGTCTATGGAGGTGATTTCCATTTTTCTAGTGTATTGCAGTCTTGTACTATCTTACCTAACTTCATCGTATTTTAAGTGTATACATATGCTTGGGCTCAATGCCTGGGGCTCCGCCACACAGGGGTTGTTTCAGTTGCTACAACTGTTGAGTGACCAACTTGCTGATAGTAGAAACTGGCACTGAGACCCCCACACTCCCAGGACGCTCTGGTATTCAGTTGGTGACACTGGATTCTTTCCATCAGGGAGAGAGTGGGCCTTTGCTTGGGAACACACAGGCTTTCTGCATGTGGGTTTTCCTCTCTGTAGTCGTGCCTTTGCCGGCACTATTATTCCAACATGGCCTCTGATTAATGTGCTTATTGCACAGAGAACACGTGTTGAAGGACTCAGTCCCAGAGGACTCACCATGCTACACCTAGCCTCCTTCTCACCCAGAAGCAGCTAACCTGATGAAACAAATGACCTGGCCTCGGGAAGACTTAGCTATACCCTAATTGGAACCAACACCCAGAAATAAAGAAGCACTGTCCTAAAGATAGTAGATGATTTGAATCAGCATCTGACATGGGGTGCTGATTTTTCCAAAGCTTGAATATATGGGTCCAGGAATCAAGGACCAATTGGGAGTGTTTCCTCCACTGTTACACAAGATTTCTCACTCACAGAATTTTTATCTTCTTCCTCCACTACCTTTGGTTCCAACGGAAGCATGCCTCTACCAGGTGAGTTTCATTTAACTGAAAGTGGAGATTACTCCCTGCCATTTTAAGCTTTATATGCTACTGAATATGCTGTAGAGTATCATGACATGTAACTTATATTCTTGTGTAGTCTTTTCATGTTTCATCTCTTTCTCTTTTTTTTGAGATGGAGTCTTGCTCTGTCGCCAGGCTGGAGTGAAATGGCGCGATCTTGGCTCACTGCAAGCTCCACCTCTGAGTTCAAGTGATTCTCCTGCTTCAGCCTTCCAAGTAGCTGGAATTACAGGCACACACCACCACACCCAGCTAATTTTTGTGTTTTTAGTACAGATGGGGATTCATCATGTTAGCCAGGATGGTCTCGATCTCCTGACCTCATGATCCTCCCGCCTCAGTCTCCCAAAGTGCTGGGATTACAGGCATGAGCCACCGCGCCTGGCTGATCTCTTCTTATAAGTCTTAAAAATTGATTTCTTCCACTTTTTTCTTGAATTTATTACCTGGAGTTTTACTTATTTTGCTATTATTTGTCCAACAACTTTCTCATATCTGTTCTTTAAAGTTTTTCCATTATATAGTTTATTGTTTTTATCTTTATTATTTCTTCTTATCTTGTGGTTCATTTAAATGGTAATTGTTACCTTCTGAGGTTGAGAATATAATTTATATAATTTCTTTCTTGTTTGGAAATAAAATATTCGAGAACATCCATTTTTCTAAAATTCAGAATTATATATACAAAACATTAATAACTCTTTGTTTTAGTTTGTTCAGACTGTGAAAATAAGAATACCATAGACTGGATGACTTAATCAAACACTGACTTCCTATGGTTCTACAGGCTGGGAAGTTCGCAGATTTGCTGAGGATTTGCTTCCGGTTCATATGTTCATAGTCAGCTGTCTTCTCACTGTGTCCTCACATGGTTAAAAAGGAAGAGGCAGGTCTCTGCTTCTCTTTTATAAGAGCAGGAATCCCTTTTCATAGACTCCACTCTCATGACCTAATTATTTCTCAAATGCCTCAGCTCCAAATACCCTCACTTTAGAATTAGAATTTCAATTTATGAATTGATGTTTCACCAATATTTAGTCCATCATGGTCATGGTGTAATTCCTTTCTTTTACTTTCAGTGAGGCTGAAAATTTTCATGTACTGGCTATGTTTTTCAAGAAAAGTTATAATTTGCCCAAATTTTAAATTACTGAGATATTTTCCCCTGTTTATTGAAATAAGAGTTTTTAAATTAATATGTGAGGATACTTGATTTTTGACAATTATGTATGTTGGTTTTTTCCCCTTAGTTTTAAATCTTTTGATGTTGAATCTTTACCTACTTAAAATTTAGGTGGTGTACTGTTATTTACTCTTTTCTCATTTAGATTTTACTTTGCTAGATTTTTTTCAAAGAGTCCATCAATTATTCATTCATAATGCTGTAAATAGCCCTAATTTATTTATTTTCTTTACTGCCCAGTCTTCCTTTTGGTGAATATACTACTTGCTTATATATTCTACTGTTAATGATTGTTATTTATGTTCTTCCCAATTGTGGATTAGTAAAATAATTCTAAGAATAGTTTCACATGGGAGATAGATGTGGGGTAATGGGCATCATTGTTTTGTTCCTCATTTCCCATTATAAAAGGAACAATATTCCATGTGTCATAATTAAGAACAATGTTTGCTAACATTTTTTAAAAATACCCTTTACCAAGGTAAAGATGAATGCTTTTCTGTTCCTATAGTTTTCTAATCATGAATGGATAATGAATTTCATCAAATGCCTTTCCCTCATCTAATGAGATCTATGTATGCTTTTTTCTTTTATTCTGTGAATTGAGCACGTCAATATGTAAGCGAGTCTCCAGCTGCCACCATCTGAAATTGTCCTCCTGAAGACTGTCCTGGAAGCTGCAGAAAACTGTTCTCTCTCCTCATAAGGCAGGCTTGAAGTGCCTGCGTATCAACCTCCAACTTTCTTTTTTGCCCTCCCAGGGCCAGCACCCTCAACCGATAACTGACAGGAGCTGGTATTTATATATTCCAGATTCTCCTTCGGCTGGGGTTAACCCTGAGGTGTGTGTTTCATGCTGTCTGAAACCTCTGTGGGAGTAAACTCCAGTTGCATGCAGTGGTAGCGAGTTTGACAACACATTCTGCCTAAATTTTTTTAATCCTATTTCGTCCTCCTCTACTGGTGGTTCCTGAAACTACTAAATAAATTGATTCGATTCATATTCTTATCTTGTGTCTGCTTCTGAGGGAAATCCAATCTAAGACTGTTGAGCATTTTACTGTTGGTTTTTCCAACTTTGCATTCCTGGAATAAACCATGTTTATTTCAAGTGATATATTGTATATTGCTGGGTTTGTTCTGCCATTATTCTATGGATGATTTTTGCTCCTACATCCATGAGTTAGATTAACCTGTAATGGCCTTTTCTCTCACAGTCATGGTCAGATCCTCTAGCAAAATAATGCTTGCCTTATAAAATGTATTGGAGAGCATTCCTTGTCTTTCTGTTGACTGCAATAGTTGGTGAAAGACTGGAATTATTACTTCCTTGAATGTTTAAAGATATGTTTGGAGCCATCCACGGCTTCGCATATTTTATAAAGTTTTTCCATCCTGTTGAGTGTGTATATAAATACATAAAGGCCTCTAAGGTGCTGCTTCTTCCTGATCTCCAGATCTCATCAATAGGACATCGTAGGGGATGGTCAGGCTGACTAAATTATGGCTCAGATCTGGAAAATCAATGCAACTTGGAGGCAAAATTATAATGTACAGGTACTTCCATCCCTTCCAGGTAAACAAATAGAAAACAACAAAAAACAAGTCAGACACCTTTTTCTAAAATTCTAACTGCAGTAAGGTAGAAAATTACCAAATTATAGACTACAGGACAGGAGCCAGGAACTCTGCTAATATGCTCCAGTAAGTAGCCCACATGAGGACCAGCAGCAACCACTGTGCTCAGCGTGGAAGCAAGTCTGTGATGGTCCAGAGTGAGGACTCCGCTGCCCCGGGTACTACCAAAGAAAGAGGGAGATCCACGTTTCCTCCAGGGACAAGACACTGCTTTTTACTGACTATTTTGGTAAAGAGGAGAAATTCCCAGCCCCTTCATAAAATTACAGCCTTTACAGGACAGAGAACCAATGCAGACTTTCTTCCATCTTTAAGGTATACCTTTCAACTGTATGTTTAGAAGCTGTAGAAATATTACACGTGGGTATAGTGGTCTCCTAGGGCTTAAGGGGGTCTAAGTACTTGCCCCCTAAATCTTTGACTAAGGCACCCTAGTGACCCCAATATATAGTATTAGTTCTGAGCCACTGTCTGGTCACACGGCGCGGTGTGAGTATTTTTTTTTCTCTAATAGTCTCCAAAAGGCCTCTCTCTGTGGGAGGCTGAGAGTAATACTCCCAGTACACACAGGACATATTATCGTTGCAGCCAATGCGCTCTTCAGTGATGGTGCTCTAGGCTTATAAACTCTGCTGGTGGGTTTGGATCAGGGGGTGTGACTTTATTGTGGTGGCCCATAACTCTGCTTTCAAGAACTGAAGAACCATTCTTATGAGGTTATACAAATCAAGCGTGTCTTCAAGAAGGTTGTCCTTCTCTTTCCTCCCTAGCAGCCCCTTGGGCCACGTACCATTCAAAGTTGGTCAGACTAGTGATTACCCAGAACTTCATCAAAGTCTGCTCACTCTCTGGGTACTGGGGATAGCACAGGTGGACTCACGGGCTGGCATGCTATTCTCCAGTGCATTCTTCAAGCTTTGAAGAAGGAAATGTCTTCTGGAAGACCCCATGAGTTGTCACTAGGGGTTGGGGATAACTCAAAATAGGAAGGAGTTCAGAGGATGATAAGCCAGAAAAGAAAGAAAGAAACCCGAAACAACAGGAAAGACCACAGACATGGAAAGCAGCCCCATCGCCTCCCAATGCCAACAAGAGTCACAACCACTTATAGCAGGGGGCAAATAATGCATTTTTTCTTCTTTGAATCATTTCTGACTTCCTGGCTTTTAATAACATAATAAGAGTGTAAAACTAAAGTTATCATTTTCTATGATATATTCTCACTTAATTATGTTTGCTATTGGTATTCTATTTTGGAATAAATACATCTGTGATTTTTATTTCAAATTGTAGGTTGCAAAACCAATTTAATGTTTTGTGTCAAGCATGAACAAAAAAAGAGACAGGACAAAATAGAAAATATTATAATGCACTGCATATACAAAATAAGGGTATTATTTGGTGAAACTTTTGTTTCTTTTCACATAGAGTGAGATACAATAAAATACTGACCCATTCTTTAGATTTAACACAATCTGGTGGACAGTTTATATTATGCCTATTTATTTTCAACCTCACCTTTGATTCCTATCTTAGCTGGAGCATAAAGCCGACATAGATTTCAAGACGAGTAAATACATGCTATTCTCCTCTGAGCTTTAACTACCTCAAAATGGTCTGTTTATTTCTTTAACAATGAAAACATAGCTAAGTATGCAATGATTTTATCACAATATTTCTCCCTGACAAGACTGTAATCCATTGTCCTCTAGGGTTTGTATTGTGGGGTCTAAGATCTAATTTTTTTGAATATCTGATAACGTGTGTGTGTGTGTGTGTGCACACGTGTGTGTGTGGTGTACATGTTGTAGCTTCTTTCCTTCCTTTACCTTTTTAATTACACTGCTTTCTCAGCACCTGTCTAGGAGTCAGTCTCTTCTTTCTGTCCACCTACCCTTTCAATTTATATACTCCTGCTTTTATTTTGAATTGCATTTGTAGTTATTACAACGAGTTCAGTGCCACGTCCACTCAAAGTGGTCCCAATCTTTCGCTCTTTGCTTTGGCTCCTCAAAGTGATCAACTGTAAAGCAGAGGTACTGATTGCCTTCAAGCTTCGGGTTATAGGACCTTTGGCTGGGAGCTGATGGCCCTACATAACTGATCTTCTGGTTTTGTAATGAGAGAACATGGAAGAATCTCTCTGGAAGGAAATTGAACACTTTAATAGTTCTGCCTATCTTTCTTTGCCAGATCAATTGTAAATCAGCATAGAATGTCTCTAGTAATTCGAGAGACATTGTAAGTCTAGAAAGTTAGTCTCTACTGCCTCCTGTATCCCTGCCATGTCAATACAAAGGGGCAGCCTGGCTGGAAGACTCAGTGCTGTGCCCCAAGCAGTTTTGCTAACAAGTTAGTTAAGCACTAGAAGAGGTCAGGCTGGGGAGAGAGCCTGTGTCCTGATTTTGCAAGTCATTCATGTTGGAATTTCCACACACTCCTGCTCTGTCCTGTGCTCTCCCATTGGTGTGGTCTTGTCTAAGGCGCCCTTGCCTGATGATCTTGCCTCTCGCCACTCTCCCCACACTTAATGCTCTTGTCCTCTTTCTCGTCCTTGAGCAAGCCTAGATGGACTTCGCCTCTGGGGTTTTCCACAAGTCCTTCCCTTTCCCTGTAAGGCTCTGCTCCCAGATATCTTGCCTGGCTTCCTATCATTCAGATTTGCATAAATATCACCTCCACGGAGCAGCCTCCTCTGACCTCCCTGAGATACAGGGTCACACCCCTGTATATCATCCTATTGGGTTTTCTTCTTAGAATGTATCAGTATCTTACATGTTCTTGCTTTTAAATGTTTACTATCTCTCCCTAGATCTAGGGAAGAGCCTTATCAATTTCATTGCTGAAACCCTGAAGTCTTCACACTTCCTGAAACACTGAGTGCTCCCATAATTAGTGAGCAGTTCTGAAAATAAAATTACTTGGGCCTAATGTTTGAAATTATGTGCACACATATTTTTTTAGCTTCATAGTCTTAACTCCAAAATATAATCATCAGAGTTTTATGTGTTATCTCAGACAGGTTGCATTGACCTCCTGCAATAATTTTTTCTTATACAAACTAAGTTATGTTTACTATTTTCACTTTAAAAAAATATAGGATAAATAACAGAACCATTTATTTGAATGGCATCTACGTATCCATTGCAAAATTACATTACTATTCCTGAAAATTCAGCCACCATCATCCTGTATCATTAGTCTATGCTGTTAACAAATTGCAATAATTTTTTTTTCTGAACTTAAAAATGTGTTTTTTTGTCCCCCCTGCACACACCCACACATATGTGTGCCTTAGCATATCTTCCTAAATTATATTCAAGAACTTTAAGGCAAACCAGTTCAAAATGATAATTATCAGGTTTTCTTAGATGCTCAAAATCATCTAAACATTCTTCTTTTAGGCCAGCAAATCATAATCAAATCACTCAGAATCAATGAATTGATTGGCCATATGAAGGACCATCTCCATAAAACAAATATGCAAAAATATACATGGAATTTCAGTGGGTTCACGAACTCCACTAAGCTTATTTACTAACCCCGTCTAGCGGCTTTTGCTTTAAATAATTTTTATCTTATTTTATTATTTTATCCTCATCTGTTTTCATTTGCATTATTTTATTGCAAGCAATTTATAAGTCTTTAAGAAAGAGCAAAAGCATTCGACTTAAATTCAAGTAAGCAATTTTAATATTTTAGGATTCTCTCTTATGATAAACATTACATAATCTTGGAAACAAGGTTGAGAATGTCTGCTAACTTATTTTTAAATCTTTATTCATGTTCATAGTTATGGTTATTTACAAAGTTATACTTGCAGAGACAAACTATAAGGTTAAAAATCTCTGAAAGATCTCCTTAATTTGTTTTCGTTTCTGTTCCAGTTTTTAAGGTTCCATATTAACTTCTTGAGTTTGAAGCAAATAGTGCACCATGTTCTTTCTCAAAGTGGCCAGTGAGTTGGACTCTTGGTGGCACAGTGACAGATAAATCGTCATTCTTTTGGACACCAATACAATGAGCCAGTAGCTCATTCCAAACTAGCATATGTATTTGATTATGAGCATGGCAAACATTGCTGATACAGGTACAAGTCTTTGTTGCTTTAGAAATGACCAACCTCATGACCTAAATTTTGAGTAAAAGTACATTACATGTAGATTTTTTCCAATTTGACTGAACTTGAAACAATATACTTATGCTTTAATGTATGCAATCTTTAAGGCCCAGCTAAACTTAATAGATGGTGTTTATCTTACCATTATTTTATGCATTTTTAAGTATTAAACTTTGAAAGAAAATACATTTCTAGATTAATAAAATAGCGCAGTCAAAACCTTTATTAATTTTTCTCATTAAACTGAAATGATAAACCAAATGAATGAGAAAAATGGCAGTAAAAGATTTAGCATGAAATATTATTTCTCAGGTAATGTCAAGAATATTATGAAAATATATACTTGCTTATAACTGAATCAAAGAAAATGAATGCATTTACCTTTGAAAAGCAGAGGTACTGATTGCCTTCAAGCTTCGGGTTATAGGACCTTAGGCTGGGAGCTGATGGCCCCACATATCTGATCTTCTGGTTTTGTAATGAGAGAACATGGAAGAATCTCTCTGGAAGGAAAACTTAGGTCATTTATCTCTCAAGCTCTATCTATTCCATAATGTATATGGAACACTTTAATATTTCTGCCTATCTTTCTTGCCAGAGTAGGAAACAGGTTCAAAATAAAGTAGTCTGAATTATCATAAAGCCAAAAATAAGAATGGAATATTTAAAATTGTAACTCACTTAACCAGTGAAAACTGAACACATTAATCTTCTTTAGTCAGGGACCTGCCATCATCTTTTGCATATTGTATTTAGCCAACAACCAAATTTTAATTTTTAATTAGGAGACATTAAAATATAATTAGCAGCAAATAACAGAATGACAAAGGTACAGAAATTCATAAAGGTCAAAGAAAGCAGCATTTTTAGCCATAGCAAGAAATGTTCTAACATGAATTTTGGGAATTATGGTGAGTGCTTCACCTTCCCCACATTCACCTCCAAGGCAAATTTTCTAGAAGCAACATTTCTATTTGACAAGAGTATAATGATAATAATACAGAAATAGCTGTCAAAACCAGAGAGTGTACATTCTTCCGAGTCAAGAGACTCTCAAACCTCAATAAACCTTTATCCCATGTATAAAGGAACATAGCAAATTCCAACTTAGCACAGATGTAACAAAATTAATTAATCGATCAGAGACTGATACAATTTTGAATATGCACTTTCCAGAATGAAGCAGAGGACAACAGAGACCATCTGCAGCTGTCAAACCTGTGGAAGTGAAACAATGGATTACAAAATTCACGGAGTGTATGAATTATCAACGAAAAACAAACACTTGGTCAAAAAAAGTTGGTCAGTGGCCCAACACGTAGATATTCTTAAGTATATATTTATATATATAATGATAAAAATTAGCTTGCATGAGGGTCGCAGTACATCTACTTTGAAGTTATAGCACATATACTATAAGCAATTTACAGAATTTGTCAGGTTTGCATATACAGGAATTGCAAAATGAATTAAAATACATTGAAATATAGAACACTCAAAATGTAGTTCTGTAAACCTCCTAGGATTGACGGAGATTGGCCATAACCAGCACTTGCCACCATTGAATAAGAACTGTAATTAAGAAAAATAAGAAAAATCCAAGAAAAAAGGGGAAAATAAAAAAAAATTCTTTCTTGTGTTATTCCTTATTTAAAGTAATGTCCTCCTTGTTGACTTGCAGTGTTGATAGTTTTGTTCTTGCCCTAAAAAGGGGGTTTTGTTTGATGATAGCTTCTGTTTTGTAGCGTTTTGATCTCTGTTTGCTTCCTGAAGATACTGGGTCCTTTAGTAGGAAATCAGTGGTATCCATAGTAAATATTCCCTATCCTGATGACATTCAGGCCAACCCTCGAGCAGTCAGTGAGATGATTTTAGTCGCCGAAAGAAAAGGGAAAAAAATAGATCTTGCTATTAGAAAACGTTCTATCGCTTCACACTAATTCTCTTAAAATAAAAGATCAGTGTTTTGCCAAAGAAAATATGATCAACAAAGCATGTGATAGCCTCTTCATTTATGCTTCCGGAAGCAGGTGCTCCTTGTGTAGTGAATTAGAGTACAGTGGGTGCAGGGTGGTGCTTGGAGTTTAGGGTCAACTTTGCTGTCCGCTCCGTAGATTTTACAGGCGATTTGCTCTTTGCTTTAAGAAGAGAAAGTGATATTGGAAAAAAGTCAGCACTTTAGATTAAAGCAAAGCACCCTTCACAAAGCCACAAACAAGAAGCAGGACAGAAAGTCCATGGCTTGTAGCTATCCTCGCACCTGCGGAAGAAGTTATAAGATATTCGCTCATCTTGAAGATTTCCAACGCTCCTTATTAGGCTGTTTTAAACACATACATATATATATTTAATTAGCTCGCCAGCTTGGCTCTGGTGCTCATGAATGTCTTGGCATGCACTGCAAACAACAACACATACAAAGGATTTCAGTCCCAGGAAGTTGGTGTTGTTTGTTTTGTCTGTTTTCAAACAATGCCATCCCATGGCTGGGAACACTGAGGGGGCAAATCCAGATACTTTTCCCTCAAGTAATTCCTTGAGGATCATTCCCTAAAGTCATCTGGTTCTTCCTATACTGGTACCTAAAAACACATCCCTTTTTTTTCCTACTGCATGAGCATAAATCCACAGGGCATATGACAGAACCTGAGAACAGCAGGTTCCTCAACGAGGGGGGAACTTGTTCTAGGGTGGGTGCATTTGGGCATTTACTTTTAGAGTGAGATTTTTTTTTTTTTTTTTAATCTTCAAAATCTTGGAGAAAGTTAGTGCTATCAAGAATTGGAAACTCCTGAAAGAGCTCCAAGACTATCTCGGGGAAGAAATTGTAGTTTTGCATTTTTTTGTCATATATTTTATTCAATAAGCTTCTAGCTACAGATGACATATTGAATGCCTTTATTAGTAAAGAACAAAAATGTGATGAGGATCAAAGCATTACCTTCTTTCATCTTTAACTGGACAAAGATTAAATGTGTTTGAAGGGGGTAAGCATGGGGAAATGCAATCTTTTGAATACTTCATCTAAATCATATTTGGGTCCACATTGACAATGATAAAAATTGTGGCAGAACCCCTTTTTCTCTAAAAGTCACTGTTTGTAGAATAAATATTTGGGGCTTCCAAAGTAGCCATTTAGTAAACTCACATTACTGTGTTTCTGCTGGGTTACTTTAGTGTTGTCATTGATTTGCCTTACTGGTAGGAGGGCTATATATTTACCAGTATACAGTATCTCCTCACAGAAACCTAGTGACTGGAGGAAGACCCAGAGGTTAGTAGTGGGGCTCTGCAGAATGGTCCTCTATTCAAATTGGGTGACAAATTTCAAAAAATGCAACAGTGATAGCTCAGTTCACATGCAGTTCTAAGTACAGAGATTTTGCAAGGAAAATGTACACAATCTATGTAAAACCAATAACATTAGAGCTTTCCAAAATTAAACACGTATTCTCATTATCTTTTGAAGAGAAACTCTTTGACAGGGATTCATTTAATGAAAAAAAAGAAAGAAAAATAAATTATTAAATGCTTCCCCAAATAGGCAATGGTCCTTGATTTCACACAAAGTATGTCTGGTATTGAATACAAGTTTTAAAATGCTGAAAGCAAATACAACTTGGTAAAATAATTCACTATTTAAAATGTATTTTGTGAAATAATGGTTTTCTTTTCAACATGGGCATTGCAGATTGGCTCGAATTTGTTGAAACTGCACCATAACTTATGTCGTCCCTTTTCTTAATTAATCAACCCTTCATAGGACATGCCTGATCCCATTAGCCCAGTGAGATATTATGGAAACAGCTGCTTCATTTTGACCCACCATTTCCTATCATACTATATCCAGCATGTGCAAGTTAAAGCATAATTTACATGAGTATTATAACTAAAAGGAAACCCAATGATGCAGTGTAAAGAATATTTTGAGCCTACTAAAATTTTGAACTTCCATCAGATATGTAATAAACTATTGAAGCGTGGTACTTTTGTTTTCAGATTGTAATCATTCAACCACTCTAGGTGCATGCATTTACTAGCATATTTTTAATTAAATACAATTCATTTTCACCAGGAAAATTACAAAGATTTTTTCCTATATAGTGAATTCTAAAGCAAATGTGTATTGTCATCAAACTACTGACTGTGTTTCTCTCCTTTCTGTTTTTTATGTCTTGAATGAAAAGATATGTACTTCTTTATCTTTGTAGGCCCAAAGACTTTTAGAAGTGACATCTGAGAATCTAAAATGCTACAATTTGTCCTGTGTAATTTTAACAAATAATCATCATAGTCATTTTCATTCAGATTTATACTAATTACATAATGCCATTACTTCTTATCAAACATGTTATGGTTTATTGTATGGAAATATTAACTTTTATGTAACAAGTAAACTTCGGCCACTCTGTGCTCATTTTACAGATAGAAATGCTTTACTTTTGTGAAATACTCAGAGCCAGGGTTGCCGTCAGGACCCCTGAGTTCTGATTTTCTCTGCTGCCACTCACTTTTGAGATCTTAAATGAGATACTATTTCCCCATGTTTCCTAAAGTGAGCATAATAACTGTGTAGAATTGTCTTATTCTCATCATATTAGTATGCCAGGTATTGTGTTGTGATAGGATTGCCTGTTTTGTTTTATTTGCTTTTGTTCTCTGCTGAGGCCAAGCAGGATAATTTGTTATCCCCTTAATACAGTCACACATCTAAGCAACTATTGCCCTCAGATAATTGCCTGTCCATTTATCTGTTCCTAGTAGCTAGTTATAATCTCTCTCTCCTCTGAACTTCAGCAGTATTTTCTTTTGCTAGGTTCTTTACCAGGCCTACATTGTGTGTAATTAATCATATTTGTCTTACCTCACTGATTATGCTATTAGCTCATTAAAAGCAAGGAGTAAAATTTTTTGCAATTTTAAAAATTACTTTCAATGTGTAAAGCAACGCCTCGAGAGTTTTCAAACTTTACCCCCAACATAAAATGCTCTGTGAAGAAGAAAGGAAGATGCTATTATCTAAATTATGTGAAGAAAATTTACAGGCAGTAGGCTTAGATGAAGATAGGCCTAATAGGACCTAGAGGTTTCTCTTGGACACAGACTGCCGTTTCATAATGTCCTTCGACATCTGTTTAATCATGATGCCTTTCATTTGCTTTGTTTCTACGCTTAAAGATTTTCATAGTGCTCTCGTAAGTGTAATCCCCCGTCTTTGTAAGGCGGAGGAGGTAATTTCTTCATTTTGTAAATGGAAGAGTCTGAGAAGTCTTAGAAGTCTCAGCAGGGCAGAAGCTTGGCTTCCATTTCTCATCCTTTTCTCTTCCTCATGCAAGAGTGGTGTGGGCCTCGCCTCTTCTGAGATGCAGCAGGCAAGCATTTCTCAAGAGAGTGTGACAAATGAAAGCCCGGCCGAGGAGAAACATGGAAAAAGCCTTCCAGGTATTAACTTCACTACGGTTATGATTTCAGAGAATAACAGAAATTCCATATATTTCATTACAAAAAGAAAGGAAAATTAAAAACAATCAAAGCATAGTAGTTGAGACCTCGGTAGCCTCAGCAGTCCGGCGGAAACGGTGTGGGGCTGCCCGCCTCAAGTGGACTGCCTGTTGCCAGCCAGAGAGGGCCACTGCCTGGAGAGGTCAGGGTCTGCTTCTGCGTCACTGCCTGAGTGCCACCAGCTCCTGTTCTCATGCCTCTTGCCCTTCCATGCCCCTCTCATATGTCCGCCAGGTAGAAGTGCTTGGCTGCCTTTCAGCACCTTCCTTTTCAGTTTAGACCTCCGTCTGTGCTACCATTTTTTCCCTGCGTCTGCAGTCACCAGGCTGGGAGACAGTGGGCAGGCTGAACAGTGCTGCATCTCTCCGCGTGCCCACACCTTACCCTCCAAAACGGCTGAAACTATTGGGGACCTGCTAGGTGCCAGGCAACATGCAGTAGGCACTGTGCCTCCATCATACTGGTTAATCCTCACAACAACCCTGTGTGGCAAATATGCAGATCAGGAATATGTAACCCAAAAATGTGAAATAACTCATCCTAGCAGGGAGTAATGCAAAGACACAGAAATGAAGAAACAGCAGTGTGGTCCATCAGCACAGAGCAGAAATCTGCCGCTTTCTGAAACCTCCTGGGACAAGCAACCTTGCTCCAATACCCCACATTTGTTAAATTGAGATGCGCAGCTATCATTTGAACGTATACTCATCTTTTCAGAGGAAATGCACCACGTGTAACATAGTTCGCATATAACATACTTCATACTTGATATAAAACTTAACTTTTCCCCAACTCTGAACTGATAAATATTGAATATGAAAACATTACCAGCCTCTTGGTTTTTCTATGCATTAATAAAATGTAAAGCCTGTTTGTTCTTCGTAATGTACCAAATTTCTTATGATATAACAATATTTTTAACTTTTCATAGCATACACTTTTACAGCTTGCAAAGGTTCCTCTGAATTCCTTTAAATATTCATTTAATACCTGGCTCCACTATTATTCTAGCATTCCTTCTTCTTTTCAAAAATCTCTTTTCCAAGCTTTTTATTCAAATTTGGTAGTCTGGGCCCAGGAAAGGTTACATTGATGGATCAAAGTACCATCGTTAGTTAGTGGCAGGTGGGGGGTGAGAACCAGACTTTTGGCAGGGGATGTGGGTATTTAATTCAAAGTGCTGAGCGAAGAAAACTAAATAAACCACTTATTCCATGTACATTTGACCAATTCTCCAAATATCCACTTTCTCTTGGCTTTGAATATTTTCTGATGGATTAATTTCCTATGTAAACACAAGTTTAGTTGGCTTAGATATGGGGTACCATCAGTATTTTCGGGGCATCGTTCTGCAGAGTTAGGCGTGATTCGTGATTGGCTTTTCTCTTCTTTCTCTTCTTGTTTGGGTATCTAATGGAATCAAAAGGAGCAAGGAAAAAGAAAGAAAACATTTTCTACTCCCACCCGCCACCCCACTGTGGCTGCATGGTCTGACTCCAGAATCCTTGTTTTGTAAAAATGAATATGAGTGAGGTTCATAACCACAAACTTAAAACTAGAAATCCTCCAACAGTAAAAGTAGCAACAGCCAAATACTTTTCTGTCTGTGAAGAAGTCCAGCTTATGAGGAACTGAGTGTCCATTACAGCTCTTCGAGCAGACGGGCCCCTTCAACATATTTCTCATTTATTACAGGTGCCAGCTTCAGAAATGAAAATCGCTGTGTGAGAAAAACTGAGCTAGCTTCTAATGCAATTTTTATTCAGGTTTGAACATACTAAATCACTGTTTAAGGGGAAAGGTCAAATAATAGAATGATTTTATCCCATAATTTTTTGAGAAGAGTATCTTTTTATTAGAATGCTTATGCGTCCGTTGCCAATTTCTTCCAGAAAT